GTAGCCGGGAAACTTGGGCTTGTAATGAACTCTGATATACTTATATTACATGCCTAAGGGGTGAAATGGGTGTATTATTCCCTGTATATGCTTACAGGATGATTTTCTGGACTTTGGGGTTACTTCATCGTGTTTTCCTGCCTTGTGATGGTAGTTGAATCTTTTGTAAAAAAAACTTTATATAGTTAGCCAAGGTCTGAGGGATTGTATTTGCACCTTGTTTTATTTAAAATAGGCTCGGCTTGATCTGTATGGTATAGATCCGGCATCGGTTATGACAATATTTGCGGTTGGATAGCAGACATCCAAACATGGGTCGAATTAATAGCTTTATTGTCTTATGCTCGTACAAGTATTGACAACTAAGGAAGTATGTAGGCAACATGAACCTTATCAGCGTTCGTATGAGCTATTATATACCCATATAAAATGGCCGACGTGGTATATATAGTGAAAAAATTCGGGGTCGGTATTGTCATTGTTTGCGGCTGGGTACTCGATTTAGTTCTTGGTGTAGAAATGAAATGATGTCTTGCTTTACGATTGTAAAACTTATGGTTACTAGGATTCAGGCAGGCAATTTGGACCGTTGGCGTTGTAAAGATATTTGATATACTGATATGCCATGTCCGCGGGGTGCTCGAGGAATGATATAAACCCTTATTGGTTGTTGCTTATATAATAATTTTCTTGGCTTTGGTATTGTTTCATCGTAATTTTCTGTCTTAACACGAGACCAGGACTTCTAAAACTGGTTTTACTAGCTAGAACGACCTTTGCCATGATATTTACACCTTGTTTGAACCTATAACAAAATAAACTTAGTCTATAGGGTTAAAAGGTCCTGGGTCAATATGTAAAATACTAGCGTTTTGCACCTAGATATAAGGGTAGCAGTCGAAAAAATAGTGTTTTGCCTTACGATCGTCCAAATAATGGATGTAGGAAGGTAACCGGGTACCTTAGCTTTATAATAAGCAATAGCATACATTTTTGGCATCCCTGCGTGATGCTCACAGAATATCAAACTCTTTTGGGTAATTTGCCATAGGGTGATTTTCTGGCTATTGAAGTTGGTTTATCGTTTTTTTCTGGCTTATCACTGGTCAAGTACTTTGGGAATACTAGTCATGGCCTTTGGAATTTCATTTGCAAGGGGTAATTTTAAGATAAGGTTACTGTTCAGGTTAAGATATTAAGTTATTGTTTAACCTTAACGTTGATTGATGGTTAGTTGGTTTGTTGACAATTCATATTTAAGGTACAGGTAAATTCAAGGTTAAAAAATTAAGTTCCGGTTAAGGTTAAGATAAGATTGAAGGTGATTTTTAACCTAAATGTTCATAGATGGTTAATTGGTAGTTGAAAATTCAGATGAAAGGTTGCGGTAGCCTTGAGGTTAATTCAATGATAGATAAGGTTAAGGTGTAGGTTAAGGTTAAGGTTAAGGTTAATGTAAAAGTTAAGATTATAGTTGAAGTTAAAATTTAGTTTAAGGTTAAATTGAAGGTTTGTCCGAACCCCGCTGAAGGATGATTGGTAGTTGAAAATTTAGATTAACGATTGAAATTGAGTTTTAAGATTGAGGAAGCCTTTAAGTTAATTGAAGGTTACAAAATGTCAAAGTTTCAGTTAAGTTTATTGTTTAAGTAAAGGTTAAGGTATGTTTTAACCTCATGATTTATTGAGGATTCATTAATAGTTATAAATTCAGATTAAAGGTGGAAGTACCCTTATGTGAACTATTATTGGTCTGTTGGTGTTTTTCTTATTTTGCCATATCGTTTTCAATTCAATTTCGATCTATTAGTTTGGCTGTCCCTCTGATATCGTTCGTCTCTCTTTTTTAACAATAATGGTAATGTTAAGCTTAAGGTAAAGGTTAAAGTGAAGGTATGTTTTAACCTTAATGTTCATAGTTGAGGTAGCCTTAATGTTAACCACATACCACATCTTCTTATATCTATTAATGTTAATTCAAGGTTACAGAAAGTGAAGGTTTATGTTTAGGTTAAGGTTAAGGTTAAAGGTAAGGAAAAGGTTAAGGTTAATGTCAATTTTAGGGTATATCATAGTAGTTTAATTTTAAGGTTGATTGAAGGACAATTTTTGTACGGTAAAGGGTTAGGGTTGTGAATAAGGTCAAAGGTAAACATTATGGTTACAGTTAAGTTTAAGACAAGATTAAGCTTGAAATCAAACTTTCATCTTTGCGCATGTACACCTGGTTAGGGTGCGTGTGCAAACTGTCGAATTTTAGGAAGTTATTAGTAGAAAGAACACTTCTATATATTTTGTGTTATGGATTATAAATTAGTTAAACCAGGTAAGTAACATTCGTATGTCTTACTAATGGATATCAAATTAGTAGACGCAGGCATTTGGTATTTTTATTCACAAATTGAGACCAAATTTTGTATGAAAATGTTTTGTTTTAAACACTTTTCAGTCGACATTCCGGATAAATAGGGCAAGTTCTCTGTGCCAACGAAAGATATTATTATTTAACTAACTCCGAATTAGCCGACTTTTCGCTTGAGCATAGATAGATTGTCTGGTCTCTGTGGGTGTTCTACATTACCTGAATTGAATGTAGTTATCATTATTTTTAAAGAATTCTGTACAACGCTTATCAACGCTTAATTCTGTACTATATTTTTGTGTATTCGTCTATTTATTTTAGACATGGCGTTGTCAGTTTGTTTTCAGTTGATACCCTTTGGTATCTTTCGTCCTTCTTTTATCAGAAATGTGAAACTCAGAGTGTCAATTTTTGAAATTAAGATACAAGTATTATGTACACGATGTATACACCTTGGCAATGAATGTATCAAACTTAAATAACAGGCGTAATAATATAATAATATATGTTAAGAGTCCAAGCACCGTGACGACTATCTAAAATGTCTTATTTAAACAACTTGAATGAGTGCATTATTGGAATAATTCTGAAATTTGTAGATTTGCGAAGATCAAATAGAAGAATATTAAAAATTGAAGATTACATAAATAGTAAATCAGATCGAGAAGGGTTTTTGGTAAGAAAGATTGACGACATAAAAGGTAAATACAAGTTATTCTGTTTTATCAGTGTGTTAATATGTTGTTTCATTGTAATACCTGGATAGGTGTTTTAGAAAAGTTTACTTACGAATGATTTTTGTATCTTCAATCTATCTTTATTTGCGGTACCTTTTACAAGCATGCATTGTATTTCAAGTTTTGTTTTCTCAATTTGGTCTTTAAAAAAAGGTTATTTTTTTATTTTAATATGCATTAAATTCATAAACATGCGGTGAATATTTTTTTCTTCATACTTTGTTAAAAATTTTGAAAACAATAAATTTCAAATTATACATGTTCACTAGTATTAGTATTTAAGTATTTGTGATGAAAATATTTTCTAAAATGGTTTCTTTTTCGAAAAAAATATAGTTTACTAACAACATATTTATTAATATTATATTTTACTTAATCAATCAATCATCGTTATGTAGTTTAAAATGTTTTCAGCTGTTTGATGTGTATATTTGTCGTTTAACTTTATAAAAGGAAGAGGTGTGTTTACGACAAAACAGTTTGAAAAAGGCGAGTTTATGTTCGAATATCGCGGAAATTTAACAACAGTTGATCCAGGCTTCAACGAGTACGCATTCGAGTTTATTTGGAATTCAAGAAAATGTTGGTAAGTTTAAAACTTTTTATGCTAGATGAAAAATGTTCTTCAAAACCATATAGTAGCGGTTAGAACACGTAAATGACATACAGGTGGTATGGGCGTATTTCGCCATCTTGGATTGTAAAAAATCAGTGAACCTAATGTCTAGTTTCTATTAATTAAGTTAACAAAATTTGATGCAAAAATGCAGATAACTAAATGTGAACTGTTATTTGAAAATAAAACCGTTTATAAGATAATGATTATAAGTATTAACACTTTTGCAAGTGTAGATTAATTTTGGTTTAACAAATGCCATTTGAATGGAAGGTAACTCTGGAAAAAGTGCACTTTTCTGAAGGAATCTACATGGAATTTTCCTATTTCGTATTTTAGCCGAAAAAAAACGTACGGTGACTTTATCCCTTCTTTTGATATTCTCAAATCATTGTCTTGATGCTATCTTTTTGTGTTTTATTTTACAATTCTATCAAGTAGTGTAGCTTCTAATTGCATACTGATGTTATTACCCGTATACGCCATACACAATGTGCCACAACCTGTAGCTTGATAAATTGCACGGTGACCTATCGTTTTTAGTATAGTTTGGAACAGATATTAATATACAATAGGTTTTGGCAAAGTGAGCGAATTTTATCCTTTCATTTTAGACTCCCATACCACCTTAAGGAATTCAATACGTTGTTTTTTTTTATTGATTATTCATTTTTTTGAATTTTGGTAATCATGCAATTGCAAAAATCTTCGATATTTCAATTGCAATTATCTGCCCCTTTCTATCACACAATTTCTTTTTCCGTATAGAGTCGACTTTATAAATGATCCTTTTTAGTAAATAGAAAAAATATATTGCTCCAGATCTTTTATATTAATATCACGCTATTTAGATATATTTCTTTAAGTTGATTTATAACTCATCATTTATCAAAATCAAGGATACCAGAAATAAAACCAGTTCTGGCCTGATTCCCACATTGATGTATATTAATATATCGAAAATTACCTCAAACCTTTCACCGACTGTTAATTATCACTGATCAATAACTTTTTTGTTTACCTTTAACTTACAGCAAACTTCAAACTGAACTTTTACCTTTAATCTTAACATTTACTATTGACGTTAACCCTCACATTTACTTCTAACCTTAATCTGTAACCTTAACAGTTAATTTTAACCTTAATCTTTAACCTTTCCAGTTACTTGTAACATTAATCTTTAACCTTATCATTAGACCATAACCTTAAATCCTATAGCTTTTACCATTCACTAGAATCCTTACCTTAAATAATTTGATACCTTCCCATCAGTAAGCTACAGTTTAACAGTAAGTTGTTCTTTCCATCTAGGATCGATGCATCTAATGACGACAAATCCTTGGGAAGGCTCGTAAACGATGACGAGAATGATAGTAACTCTATTGTTAAGAGAATAATTGTCGGTGGTCTTCCCCATCTTTGTTTCTTTGCTACAAGAACAATCAGCGAAGGTGAAGAAGTAACATTCACATATTTTCAAGGAGAATATGACCAGTTTCCTTGGCGGTTAAAGGTAAGTATTATGTACTTCAGGATTTGTTAATGACACAATTTGTGAATGCATACAGATAGCGAGTCTTGTTCAAGTTTAAAGGTTAAAATTTAAGGTTAAGGTGATGGTTTTATTAAAAGGTTAAGATAAAATCCAAAAGTTAAGGTTATAATGAATGTTAGGTAAAGGTTGCTGTTGACATTCAAATTATGTATGCGCATGTGCAGTTAACAGAACGCTTCTGTTAAAGGTTAGTTGATCGTCGGATAAGTGTTTTTCTTGTGATTGAATTATAATACCATTGTGGAGAAATTTTCATGAAAGGTAAGCATTTACTCCTTTATATCAGAATCATTCTAAGAATTGTTTAAAACGACGCCTTTGTCCATTGATTTGATTAAGCACACATAGTAAATCTTATGAAAACTAAAGGTTAATCCTTGAAGTTTAATTTACGAAAACATTATACCATAGTTAATGTTAAACTTTTATCATTTCTGAAACCAATACTTCAGTATACATTTACATATCAATATCAAAGCGTGGTCAATTATCACACTCATATTTATAAAAACACTTTTCGTAAATAAAAAAAGAAGATGTGGTATGATTATTAATGAGACAACTCTCCACTGCAGACCAAAATGAAACAGTAATTAACAACTATAGGTCACCGTACGGCTTTCGACAATGAGCAAAACCGATACCGCGTAGTACGCTTTACAAGACCCCGAAATGACAATGTAAAACAATTCAAACGTGAAAACTAACGGTCTTATATATGTACAAAAAGTATACGAAAATCAAATATGTAACACAGCAACAAACGACAACCACTGAATTACAGGCTCTTGACTTAGGACAGGCACTTACATACAGAATGGGGTGGGGTTAAACATGTTAGCAGGATCCCATTCCTCCCCCGAACCTGGGACAGTGGTTTTAAAGTACAACATATGAAAAACCTATACAAATCAGTTAAAATAGGCATAAATCATCAGATGAACAAAAATACAAGTGGACTACAACACCGCACTAGAAACTTTTTTCTCTCTTTACATGAATGATAAGTTAGGAGTGACACAATTTCCCTAACTTGCTCTCACCCTTACTTCTTATTTTGTCTCATATCGGTCTGTTGTATACAATTTGACAATTAATCTTTAGAAATAACCGAAATTCCCTTCATATGTCGAAATTTAATAACCGTGACAAATAATAACTTATTTTTTTTGTAAAAAAATGGTCTGTTGTACATTACTTGCAACCTTGGATGTTACTGTTTGTCGTGAATGTTTGACTGATCTATGAGTAGTCGTTGCTCGGTGACCTATAGAATTCGTCAGATAAGCCAAATAAGCTATGTGAGAGTTACCGTGACAACGGTCAGCGATCGATCAGTAGATTTATCTTATGCACGGATCTGACGGATACGTATATGTTTAAAATTCTTATGTAAACCGAACTCCACAGTGTTTACATTCGATGAACACTGACCTCCACGAAGACACCTTTACTCGTTTAGTTGTAATAAACTTAGTTGCAATAACAAATAAAAAAAAAATAAATATGAATTACTTTTCACACATCATGTGTATATCTTCATATTCTTTAATTTAAATTTTAGCTAAAAAATTAAATAAGTGCAGACTAACGATATGCTTATGTACCACTCATAAGCGATAAAATGTAATCATTTAAAATATGTACTATATCTAGCAATTCATGTCACTAGATGATAAAAGTAAAAATAGTATAACATTAAAGAAGCTCAGAGCTTTGTTTGTCTTGATTAAAAGTGTTGTTTTAACTATTGTTTTGAATTACTTTAATTTCTTCATTTGATAAAAAGTAATGTAATCTTATTTATAATTATGTATTGTAATGTTCTCGAGATAAGTGTTTTCTTTGAATTAAAAGATAATCAGAAATAAAAAAAAATAAAAATTTTGTTTTTGTAGAATAAGAATGCAGTTATTGCTTTATTTTAATACAAATTATAAACTGTCAAAAGATTTCAATACTTTTTCTACATCATGATTGGTTGTTCTTCAGAAAAAAATAGACTGAATATTAGGGAAATGATACACAATTTAATGCATATATTTCATCTCATATTTGAAATGATTCAACATCAATTGCAAATAGTCTTTAAAATGTCTTTTGATAAGTAATTCTGTATAAGATTTGATTTTTTGAAGGATACATATGTCAAACTTTTGTTTTATTGGATCAAGAATGCAATCATTTCTGCCTTTTCAATGGAAATTATTGACTGCCATTGGATTTTTGTACTTTTAACAGTTTTGGATTGGTTGTTTTTTTCATAAAATTAAAAGATTATCAAAGAAAATATACTAAAATGGTGTTTGCATTGTTCAAATTAACCAAATTATTCTTCTTTTGATAAAAAATGATGCCATTTTATTTGGAATTAGTTATTTCAAAAGCAGTTATATAAGTCTTATTTACAAATTTAGATCTCATCAGAATTAAAATACTCAAAGTTTGGTTTTTGTTGAAAAAGAATGCAGTTATTGCTTTATTTAAATACTTATTATAAACTGCCATAAAATTTCAGTACTTTTTGAACATCAGGATTGGTTGTTTTTCATTAAATAGGCTGAATTTAAGGGAAAAGATACTAAATTTTTGTACGTGTTGCCTTAAATGCAAATATTTCTTCTCATTTTTCAAATAATGCAACTTTAATTGCAATCAGCCTTTAAATATGCCTGTTGATAAGTTATTTTGAATAAAATGTTATTTTTTGAAGGATAGATATGCTTAAATTTTTGTTTTTGTTGAACAAGAATGCAATCATTTTTTTCATTTTCATGGAAACTTTTGACCACCATTGGATTTTCGTACTATATATTGTTTAGGATTGGTTGATTTTTCATAAAATTTAAAGAATAACAGAGAAAATATACTAAAATATTGCTTGCATTGTTCAAATTTACCAATACTATTCTTCTTTTGATAAAAAAATATGCTATTTTATTTGGAATTAGTTATTTCAAAAGCCTTCATATAAGTCTTATGTGAGAACTTAGATCTCATCAGAATTAAAATACTCAAAGTTTGGTTTTTGTTGAAAAAGAATGCAGTTATTGCTTTATTGTAATACACATTATAAACTGCCATAAGATTTCAGTACTTTTTGAACATCAGGATTGGTTGTTTTTCATTAAATAGGCTGAATTTAAGGGAAAAGACACTAAATTTGTATACGCGTTGCCTAAAATGCAAATATTTCTTCTCATTTTTCAAATAATGCAACTTTAATTGCAATCAGCCTTTAAATATGCCTTCTGATAAGTTATTTTGAATAAAATGTTAATTTTTGAAGGATAGATATGCTTAAACTTTTGTTTTTGTTGAACAAGAATGCAATCATTTCTTCATTTTCATGGAAACTATTGACCACCATTGGATTTTTGTACTTTATATTGTTAAAGTATGGTTGATTTTTCATAAAATTAAAAGAATATCAGAGAAAATATACTTAAATGTTGTTTGCATTGTTCAAATTTACCAAAATTATTCTTCTTTTGATAAAAAATGATGCTATTTTATTTGGAATTAGTTATTTTAAAAGCCTTCATATAAGTCTTCTTTAAGAACTTAGATCTCATCAGAATTAAAATACTCAAAGTTTGGTTTTTGTTGAAAAAGAATGCAGTTATTGCTTTATTTAAATACTTATTATAAACTGCCATAAGATTTCAGTACTTTTTGAACATCAGGATTGGTTGTTTTTCATTAAATAGGCTGAATTTAAGGGAAAAGACACTAAATTTGTGTATGCGTTGCCTAAAATGCAAATATTTCTTCTCATTTTTCAAATAATGCAACTTTAATTGCAATCAGCCTTTAAATATGCCTGTTGATAAGTTATAGTTATTTTGAATAAAATGTTATTTTTTGAAGGATAGATATGCTTAAATTTTTGTTTTTGTTGAACAAGAATGCAATCATTTCTTCATTTTCATGGAAACTATTGACCACCATTGGATTTTTGTACTATATATTGTTTAGGGTTGGTTAATTTTTCATAAAATTTAAAGAATATCAGAGAAAATATACTAAAATATTGCTTGCATTGTTCAAATTTACCAAAACTATTCTTCTTTTGATAAAAAATGATGCTATTTTATTTGGAATTAGTTATTTTAAAAGCCTTCATATAAGTCTTCTTTAAGAACTTAGATCTCATCAGAATTAAAATACTCAAAGTTTGGTTTTTGTTGAAAAAGAATGCAGTTATTGCTTTATTTAAATACTTATTATAAACTGCCATAAGATTTCAGTACTTTTTGAACATCAGGATTGGTTGTTTTTCATTAAATAGGCTGAATTTAAGGGAAAAGACACTAAATTTGTGTATGCGTTGCCTAAAATGCAAATATTTCTTCTCATTTTTCAAATAATGCAACTTTAATTGCAATCAGCCTTTAAATATGCCTGTTGATAAGTTATAGTTATTTTGAATAAAATGTTATTTTTTGAAGGATAGATATGCTTAAATTTTTGTTTTTGTTGAACAAGAATGCAATCATTTCTTCATTTTCATGGAAACTATTGACCACCATTGGATTTTTGTACTATATATTGTTTAGGGTTGGTTAATTTTTCATAAAATTTAAAGAATATCAGAGAAAATATACTAAAATATTGCTTGCATTGTTCAAATTTACCAAAACTATTCTTCTTTTGATAAAAAATTATGCTATTTTATTTGGAATTAGTTATTTCAAAAGCCTTCATATAAGTCTTATGTAAGAACTTAGATCTCATCAGAATTAAAATACTCAAAGTTTGGTTTTTGTTGAAAAAGAATGCAGTTATTGCTTTATTTTAATACACATTATAAACTGCCATAAGATTTCAGTACTTTTTGAACATCAGGATTGGTTGTTTTTCATTAAATAGGCTGAATTTAAGGGAAAAGACACTAAATTTTTGTACGTGTTGCCTAAAATGCAAATATTTCTTCTCATTTTTCAAATAATGCAACTTTAATTGCAATCAGCCTTTAAATATGCCTTTTGATAAGTTATTTTGAATAAAATGTGAATTTTTGAAGGATAGATATGCTTAAACTTTTGTTTTTGTTGAACAAGAATGCAATCATTTTTTCATTTTCATGGAAACTATTGACCACCATTGGATTTTTGTACTTTATATTGTTAAGGATTGGTTGATTTTTCATAAAATTAAAAGAATATCAGAGAAAATATACTTAAATGTTGTTTGCATTGTTCAAATTTACTAAAATTAGTCTTCTTTTATAAAAAATGATGCTATTTTATTTGGAATTAGTTATTCTAAAAGCCTTCATATAAGTCTTCTTTAAGAATTTAGATCTCATCAGAATTAAAATACTCAAAGTTTGGTTTTTGCTGAAAAACAATGCAGTTATTGCTTTATTTTAATACACATTATAAACTGCCATAAGATTTAAATACTTTTTGCACATCAGGATTGGTTGTTTTTCATTAAATAGGCTGAATTTAAGGGAAAAGATACTAAATTTTTTTATGCGTTGCCTAAAATGCAAATATTTCTTCTAATTTTAAAAATAATGCAATTTTAATTGCAATCAGCCTTTAATATACCTTTTATTATTTTTTGTATAAAATGTTAATTTTGGAAGGATAGTTATGCTTAAACTTTTGTTTTTGTTGAACAAGAATGCAATCACTTCTTTATTTTCATGAAAAACTATTGACCACTATTGGATTTTTGCACTTTATTTTGTTTAGGATTGGTTGTTTTTTCATAAAATTAAAAGAATATCAGAGAAAATATACTAAAATGTTGTTTGCATTGTGTAAATTTTGAAAAAAAAATTATGCTTTATTATTTGGAATTAGTTATTTCAAAAGCCTTTATATAAGTCTCTTAAAGAATTTAGATATAATCAGAATTAAAATACTTAAGGTTTGGTTTTTGTTGAAAAAGAATTCAGTTATTGCTTTATTTTAATAAAAATTATAAAATACCATAAGATTTCAGTACTTTTTGCACATCAGGATTGGTTGTTTTCCATTGAATAGGCTGAATTTAAGGGAAAAGACACTAAATTTTTGTACGTGTTGCCTAAAATGCAAATATTTCTTCTCATTTTTCAAATAATGCAACTTTAATTGCAATCAGCCTTTAAATATGCCTTTTGATAAGTTATTTTGAATAAAATGTGAATTTTTGAAGGATAGATATGCTTAAACTTTTGTTTTTGTTGAACAAGAATGCAATCATTTTTTCATTTTCATGGAAACTATTGACCACCATTGGATTTTTGTACTTTATATTGTTAAGGATTGGTTGATTTTTCATAAAATTAAAAGAATATCAGAGAAAATATACTTAAATGTTGTTTGCATTGTTCAAATTTACTAAAATTAGTCTTCTTTTGATAAAAAATGATGCTATTTTATTTGGAATTAGTTATTCTAAAAGCCTTCATATAAGTCTTCTTTAAGAATTTAGATCTCATCAGAATTAAAATACTCAAAGTTTGGTTTTTGCTGAAAAACAATGCAGTTATTGCTTTATTTTAATACACATTATAAACTGCCATAAGATTTAAATACTTTTTGCACATCAGGATTGGTTGTTTTTCATTAAATAGGCTGAATTTAAGGGAAAAGATACTAAATTTTTTTATGCGTTGCCTAAAATGCAAATATTTCTTCTAATTTTAAAAATAATGCAATTTTAATTGCAATCAGCCTTTAATATACCTTTTATTATTTTTTGTATAAAATGTTAATTTTGGAAGGATAGTTATGCTTAAACTTTTGTTTTTGTTGAACAAGAATGCAATCACTTCTTTATTTTCATGAAAAACTATTGACCACTATTGGATTTTTGCACTTTATTTTGTTTAGGATTGGTTGTTTTTTCATAAAATTAAAAGAAAATCAGAGAAAATATACTAAAATGTTGTTTGCATTGTGTAAATTTTGAAAAAAAAAATTATGCTTTATTATTTGGAATTAGTTATTTCAAAAGCCTTTATATAAGTCTCTTAAAGAATTTAGATATACTCAGAATTAAAATACTTAAGGTTTGGTTTTTGTTGAAAAAGAATTCAGTTATTGCTTTATTTTAATAAAAATTATAAAATACCATAAGATTTCAGTACTTTTTGCACATCAGGATTGGTTGTTTTCCATTGAATAGGCTGAATCTTAGAGAAATGATACTAAATTGTTGTACGCATTGCCTGAAATGCAAATATTTCTTTTATAATTCAAATAATGCAACCTCAATTGCAATGAGTCGTGTAACATGCCTTTTCATACGTTATTTTGTATAAAATGTTAATTTTTGAAGGATAGATATGCATAAAGTGTTGTTTTTGTTGAACAAGAATACAATGATTTGTTTCATGTTAATGGAAATTATTAACTGCCATTGGATGTTTGTATTTTTTATTGTTTAGGTTTTTTTCCCATAAAATTAAAAGATTATCAGAGAAAATATACTTAAATGTTGTTTGCTTTGTTTAGATTTAGCAAAATTATTCTTCTTTTGATAAAAGATGAAGGTTTTTTATTTGTACGAATATTTTTTAAGGCTTCAATATAAGTCTTTCTTTAGAATTAAAATATAATCAGAATTTAAATACTTAAAATTTTGTTTCAGTGGAACAAGAATGCAGTTATTGTTAATACAAATCAGAAGCCAACATAAGATTTCAGTTTTTATTTGTACTTCAGGATTGTTTTTTTTTTCATAAAATATGCTCAATTGCAATCATTCTTTATAAATGTCTTTTGATAATTAATTTTGAATAAAATGAAAACAATTGAAGGATACATATGCATAAACTTTTGTTTTTTTTAAATAAGAATGCAATTATTTCTTTATTTTAATCAAAATCATTGATCACCATTGTATTGTTGTACTTAATGAAGTTAATGATTATTTATTTTTAAATACGGTTAAAGAATATAAAAAAAAAAATATAAAAAATGTTGTTCGCATTGTTTAAAATTACAAATATATCTTATTTTATTGAAGTAAATGCAGCAATTATACTTGTAATTTGTTATTTTAATGGTGTCAATTAAGATAATTTTTTTGAAATGAGTTTTAAGATTATAAGGATACAAAACTTTAATAATTGAAAAATGTTACACCAAAATTTTCAGGAACGGCTCATTTCATTTATTTTCCATAGTATTTTCGGAAAATAATAAAATAAAATCGTGAAAGAAACACCGTTTTAGAACTGTCCGGGATTGAAATATATAGCCTAATTTAATTAAGTGTAAAACTGATTGGTTGTAATTCAAATGACCATTAGTTCTTAAACTTTATAGGATTAAACTTTTATCGACACTGATGTAATCAGAAGAAACTTCCTACTTTGTTCAAGTTTTACAACCTCCAAAAATTATAAATTGTGTTTGAATTTATCAATCTCCACAATTAATAACTGTTTATAACCATAAATCTTTAAATAAATGGCTTTTAATGTCAATGATGTGTTAGCTGAAATTCCCATTAGATACTTCTGAAGATATAACAGGTAGGCCGATAAAAAACTGGCTAGCATGTCATATCAACGACGATAAATTAGTAGTACCTCCCATAGGCTCAATGTTATGCAGTTCATTCTAGTTTTGAAATTCAGAGTGCTTGGACGTATTTTCTGTTACTTCTCGTTCGAAAGGTATTACTGATCTTCATGAAAACATTGACTTGATAATAACTTGTGTGAAATTATTTGGTGCGTCTTTGGAATACATATTCCTCTTGGTTTTATACAGGAAGGAAAAACAGATGAAATAAGACCTGTGGTAAGTAATGTTATGCTATTATTAAAACAATATGTAAATATAATTAAACGTCAGTTCAAAAACATTTTTTTTCTAAACCGTCAGCTTGCAAAAAGTTGTAAGCCATGTCTTTTTCTGTGTTTTCGTGCAAAAATAATTGTTAAGCCTATATCTCCAGCTTTGTTTTAGTTGTTGCCAAATTGCAAAGAAAAAAAGTAAAACATTTGTAAAGACTTAAAAGGTCAGCCTATCAAAAATTGAAAAAAAAAAAACTTACACCAACCATGACGAAACTGTAGCTCCTCTCGTAGGCTAAATGTTAAACTTTTCATTATAGATTGAGAATTCAGATTGTTTGGACGCATTTCTGTTCCTTCTTTTTCGGAAGACAGTAGTGATTTTAATGTTATAACTCCTCATATTAAGTAAACATTTTTATTCGTATTTTGATTATATATTCCTCTTGGATTTATACAGAAAGGGAATACAGAAGAAGAAAGACCAGTGGTAAATAACGTTTTAATATATATAAAAAAATTAGGGGTATCAACATTAAACACCAGTTCTAAAAGACCCTTGCATTGTCAATTGCCGAAATTTGCTTAAAATTGTAAGACTTGTCCTTTTCTGGCGTTTTTGTGCAAACATGATTGTTAAAAGTAAAGAATAAATTAAACCTTAATTGAAGAGCCACCATTTAGTCTACATCGCCAGTCTTTTGTTGTTGCTGTTAGTAACTTGCTATTATCAAAAGAAACAGGAAATAATAGTAAACGTCAGTTAAAAAAAAAACTTATTTTAATTTCTGTAGATTTGCCTCAATTTGTATAGCATGTTTTTTTTTAAGTTTTGGGTAAAAAATATTGTTAAAAGTAAAGAATAAATCAAATCAATGTTGAAGAGCAATCATTTAACTTATATCCCCAGTTTCTGTATTGTTGCTATATTTAGAATAAAAAAAACCAGAATCGTATACTTCTGAAAAGAAATAAAGGTCAGCCGATAAAAATTGCAAAAAAACATACCAACTACGATAATATAGTAGTTCCTATTTTAGGCTCAATGTTAAAAATGTCATTCCAGTTTGAGAATTCATAATGCTTGGACGTATTTTCAATTACTTCTTTCATGAAAGGTTTTAGTGATCTTCATAATAACATTGACTTAGTACTAACTTGCGACATCTATGGATAATTTGCATTCCTATTTTGATTTAATATTTCTCTTTTATACAGAAGGGACATACCGAAGAAGAAAGACAAGTGGTGAGTAACTTTGACTTTTTTTTTAGATAAAAATAATATTAACATTAAACGTCATTTCCATTAATCTAGCTGAAAAAAAGAAAGACAATTTTTTTTTCGCGCAAAAATTATTGTAAAAAGTAAAGAATAAATAACACCCATCTAAAGAGCAACCATTTAGCTTGATTCCCAGTTTCTTTGTTATTTGTAAATTGCAAAGAAAAAATAAATATGCTTATGAAGACATAAGGGTCAGCCAATATAAACTTGAAAAAAACTTCATATCAACGACGATACCCTTGTAGTACATCCTATAAACTCAAGGTTAACCTTTTCATTCCAGTTTGAGAACTCAGAGTGTTTGGACGTATTTCCGTTACTTCTTATTCGAAAAGTATCAGTTAGTATCATGATGATATTGAATTAATGCTACCTTGTGACATTTAGTGACATTTATCCCCTCTTTTGAATAAATCTTTCTCTTGGATTTCTACAGGAAGGAAATACAGTGGAAGAAAGACCAGTGGTAAGTAACATTTCATTATTAAAAAAAGAATGACAATTAACATTAAAAGAGAGGCGAAATATACCAGAGAGACAGTCAGATTAACAGATCGAAGAAAACAACAACTGACAATGCCATGACTATAAAGGAAAAGGTCAAACAGACAAATAATAGTACACAAGAAACAACATAGAAAACTAAAACCTAAGGATGTGCTCACATTGACCTAAACTCTGTTCTTTTATAAGTGTATTTCACACGTAAACTAAACACACTTACATTCACATTGATAATCTGTGTTTACATATAGTTCAAATCATCTTTTGTCTACATGCAGTCGATAGTGAATGTAGGCCTTGCGTGGGTTAAGGTATACAGAACATGACTTTTGACATGTTTATTTAAAGAAGAAAGGTTTTTTGAATAAGATTGATGACGTTTTTTGAATAAGATTGATGGTAGGTCGACCGTATGTCGGATCGTTATCGAGAAAGTTCAATGTAGTAGTTAGATGTTAGGTTAATAGTTGAGGTCAATTTTAACTCTAAATTTTAGTTTAACCTTGTGTGCTATTGAGGGATATGTCGGCTATCATGTAAGGTTAGGGTTAAGGTTTGGTTTAAGGTTAAAGTGAAGGTTAAGGTTAAAGTTAAGATTAATTTTACGTTTAACCTGAAGCTTTATTGAAGCATATGTTTGCTATTATTTAAGGTCAAGGTTAAGGTTAAGATTATTTTTAGTGTAACCTTAATGTTTATTTAAGCATATGTTTTCTTTTTCTTAAGGTTAAGGTTAAGGTTAAGGTTAAGGTTTAGGTTCAGTTTTTGTTTAACCATAAGCATTATTTAAATATACGTTGGCTATATCATAACAGATCTAGCCGTGAGGGAATACTCAAGGTTGTCTAAGGTGACGGTATGTCTGATCATTATCTAGATAGGTACATTGAGGAGTTGATAGTTAACGTCAATTTTTATTCAAATTTTTAGTTTAACTAAAGGTTTATTAAAGGATGTGTTGGCTTTTATTTAAAGTTAAAGTGACGGTTAAGGTTAGTGTTATGGTTAAGGTTAAGGTTAAATTCGCGTTTAACCTGAAGCTTTATTCAAGCATATGCTGGCTATTATTTAAGGTTAGGGTTAAGGTTAAGGTTGAGATTATTTTTTTAATGTAACCTTAAGATTTATTTAGGCATATGTTGGCTATTATTTTAAGTTACGGTTAGGGTTTAGGTTAATGTTAATTTTTCGTTTCACCTTAAGCATTATTTTAAGATACGTTGACTCTATCATAATAGTGGTAACCTTGGGGAATGCTCAAGGTTGTCTAAAGTGACGGTATGGCGGATCGTTATCGAGAAAGTTCAATGTAGTAGTTAGATGTTAGGTTAATAGTTGAGGTCAATTTTAACTCTAAATTTTAGTTTAACCTTGTGTTCTATTGAGGGATATATCGGCTATCATGTAAGGTTAGGGTTAAGGTTTGGTTTAAGGTTAAAGTGAAGGTTAAGGTTAAAGTTAAGATTAATTTTACGTTTAACCTGAAGCTTTATTGAAGCATATGTTTGCTATTATTTAAGGTCAAGGTTAAGGTTAAGATTATTTTTAGTGTAACCTTAATGTTTATTTAAGCATATGTTTTCTTTTTCTTAAGGTTAAGGTTAAGGTTAAGGTTAAGGTTTAGGTTCAGTTTTTGTTTAACCATAAGCATTATTTAAATATACGTTGGCTATATCATAACAGATCTAGCCGTGAGGGAATACTCAAGGTTGTCTAAGGTGACGGTATGTCTGATCATTATCTAGATAGGTACATTGAGGAGTTGATAGTTAACGTCAATTTTTATTCAAATTTTTAGTTTAACTAAAGGTTTATTAAAGGATGTGTTGGCTTTTATTTAAAGTTAAAGTGACGGTTAAGGTTAGTGTTATGGTTAAGGTTAAGGTTAAATTCGCGTTTAACCTGAAGCTTTATTCAAGCATATGCTGGCTATTATTTAAGGTTAGGGTTAAGGTTAAGGTTGAGATTATTTTTTTAATGTAACCTTAAGATTTATTTAGGCATATGTTGGCTATTATTTTAAGTTACGGTTAGGGTTTAGGTTAATGTTAATTTTTCGTTTCACCTTAAGCATTATTTTAAGATACGTTGACTCTATCATAATAGTGGTAACCTTGGGGAATGCTCAAGGTTGTCTAAAGTGACGGTATGGCGGATCGTTATCGAGAAAGTTCAATGTAGTAGTTAGATGTTAGGTTAATAGTTGAGGTCAATTTTAACTCTAAATTTTAGTTTAACCTTGTGTTCTATTGAGGGATATATCGGCTATCATGTAAGGTTAGGGTTAAGGTTTGGTTTAAGGTTAAAGTGAAGGTTAAGGTTAAAGTTAAGATTAATTTTACGTTTAACCTGAAGCTTTATTGAAGCATATGTTTGCTATTATTTAAGGTCAAGGTTAAGGTTAAGATTATTTTTAGTGTAACCTTAATGTTTATTTAAGCATATGTTTTCTTTTTCTTAAGGTTAAGGTTAAGGTTAAGGTTAAGGTTTAGGTTCAGTTTTTGTTTAACCATAAGCATTATTTAAATATACGTTGGCTATATCATAACAGATCTAGCCGTGAGGGAATACTCAAGGTTGTCTAAGGTGACGGTATGTCTGATCATTATCTAGATAGGTACATTGAGGAGTTGATAGTTAACGTCAATTTTTATTCAAATTTTTAGTTTAACTAAAGGTTTATTAAAGGATGTGTTGGCTTTTATTTAAAGTTAAAGTGACGGTTAAGGTTAGTGTTATGGTTAAGGTTAAGGTTAAATTCGCGTTTAACCTGAAGCTTTATTCAAGCATATGCTGGCTATTATTTAAGGTTAGGGTTAAGGTTAAGGTTGAGATTATTTTTTTAATGTAACCTTAAGATTTATTTAGGCATATGTTGGCTATTATTTTAAGTTACGGTTAGGGTTTAGGTTAATGTTAATTTTTCGTTTCACCTTAAGCATTATTTTAAGATACGTTGACTCTATCATAATAGTGGTAACCTTGGGGAATGCTCAAGGTTGTCTAAAGTGACGGTATGACTGATCGTTATTGAGATAGGTACATGTAGAAGTTAGATGTTAGGTTTAAAGTTGAGGTCAATTTTAAGTCTAAAGTTTAACCATATTTTGTATTGTAGGATATGTTGGCTATTTCTTAAAATTACGGTTAATGTTTGGGTTAAGGGTACTGTTAAAGTTAAGTTAAGGTTAAGGTTAAGGTTTATTTTTCGTTTAACCTTAAGTTATATTCAAGCATATGATGGCTATCATTTAAAGTTGAGGTTAAGGTTAAGGTTATTTTTTCTGGTAACCTTAAGCTTTATTCAAGCATATGTTGGCTATTTTGTTAGGTTAAGGTTAAAATTAAGGTTGATCTTAAGGTTAAGGTAAAGATTAAGGTTAAAGTTAATTTTTCGTTTATCCTTAAGCATAATTTAAAGATACGTTGACTATATCATAACAGTGGGGAATACTCAAGGTTGTCTAAGATGAAGGTATGACTGATCGTTATCGAGATATGTACATGTAGGAGTTAAATATTAGGTTTATAGTTGATGTTAAGGTTAAGTCTAATTTTTAGTTTAACCTTATATTCCATTGAAGGATATATTGGCTATTATTTTAAGTAACGGTCAATTTACGGGTTAAGGTTAAGACTAAGTTTTATTTTTCGTTTAACCTTAAGCTTTATTTCAGCGTATGTTGGCTATTATTGAAGGATAAGGTTAAGGTTAAGGTTATTTTTTCGTGTCACTTTAATGTGTATTTAAGCATATGTTGGCTATTATTTAAGGTTAGGGTTAATGTTAGGGTAAAGGTTAAGGACAAATTTAAGGTTAAGATTATTTCTTCGTGTAACCTGAAGCTTTATTCAAGCAAATGCTGGCTATTTCTTTAGGTAACGGTTAAGGTAAAGGTCAAGGTTAAGGTTATGGTTAATTTGTCAGTCAAAAATACGTTAGCTATATCATAACAGTGGTAGCCGTGGGGAATAATCAAGGTTGTCTAAGATGAAGGTATGACTGATCGTTATCGAGATAGGTACATGTAGGAGTTAAATATTAGATTTATAGTTGAGGTTAAGGTTAAGTCTAATTTTTAGTTTAACCTTATATTCTATTGATGGATATATTGGGTATTATTTCATGTAACGGTCAATTTTAGGGTTAAGTTTAAGGTTAAGGTTTATTTTTCGTTTAACCTTAAGCTTTATTGCAGCGTAAGTTGGCTATTACTGAAGATTAAGGTTAAGGTTAAGGTTATTTTTTCGTGTGACTTTAATGTGTATTTAAACATATGTTGGCTATTATTTAAGGTAAAGGTTATGGTAAGGGTTAAGGTTAAGGACAAGTTTAAGGGTAATGTTATTTCTTCGTGTAACCTTAAGCTTTATTCAAGCATATGTTGGCTATTTCTTTAGGTAACGGTTAAGGTTAAGGTCAAGGTTAAGGTTAAGGTTAATTTTACGTTCAAAAATACGTTGGCTATATCATAAAAGTGGTAGCCGTGGGGAATACTCAAGGTTGTCTAAGATGAAGTAATGACTGACCGTTATCGAGATAGGTACATATTGGAGGTAGATGTTAGGTTTAAAGTAAAAGGTCAATTTTGAATCAAATGTTTTGTTTTACCTTAATTTTCATTGAAGGATATGTTGGCTATTATTTAAAGTTACGGTTTATATTAGAGTTAAAATTACGGTTAAGGTTAAGGTTAACGTTAATTTTTCGTTTAACCTTAAGTTATATTCAAGAATATTTTTGGCTTTTATTTTCGTCTTTTTTCTACATGCAGTCGATAGTGAATGAAGGCCTTGCGTGGTAGTATACCTTTATTGATAATTTAATTCAAATGTTACGTCTATTCGAATTTTTAATAGTTTATCCTGACTTTTTTTTTTTTCTTTTTCATAAGGTATAAGTGATTTGTGTAATACATTGATTAAATAATTATCTGTGACATTGAAATGGTTTGGGTGTCTTTGCCATTTCGGATTGTAAACAACAGAGAATCTAAGGTCTAGATTTGAATCAAGTTAGCAAAATTTGATGATGGAACTAATATTGATTTGCACCTAAAAGAACAAATTAATAAGATTATAACTTATAAATTTTAATATTTTTTGCTTCATTTCTAATGTTTTTATTTTGGCATGTTAAGGGGATGTATAAACTCTGAAATAGTGCATTTTGTGAAGGAATCTACACTTAATTTTGCTATTTTGCATTTTAGCCGGAAAAAACGCACGGTGGTCCTATCTTTTTCTTTTGATATTCTAAACGCATTTTCTATCTTTTCGTATTTTTTTTACAATTCTATTATTTAGTTTAACTTCTAATCACATAATGATGTTTTTTCCTGTATAATCCGTACAAAATGTGTCATTTTGTCACTTCCTGTAGATTGAGAGAATACACGGTGACCCATCTTTTTTATTATATTTTTGAAAATATATCAATATATACTACGCCAGGCAAAGTATGAACAAATTCTATCGTTCTTGCTTTAGACTCCCATACAGCCTTAAGTGACAATTTGTATTCGTCTTTTGATTTAGTTTTTCTGTTTGATATATACAGGAAGGAAATAAAAAAGAAGGAAGACAAGTGGTAAGTAACATTTAACTATAAGACAAAATACGAACATTTCAAACTTTTTTTCATTTCATTAAAGGAGTATATCCGGTAAGGTACGATTTTGGCCAAAAAGTTCAGCTACATCGGATGAAAGAGGTTGGACACATTTAAAACACTTAAGTACCTACGTTAGTCGATTATATTAGTTTTTGTGGAAGATTAGAACTGATTTTGTCATTCAAGACGCTCAAATAAGATAAAATAAAGAAAAAGTATCAAATATGCCATAATATGTCACTTTTCAGATGTGTTTTGTCGAAAATGACAGTAGCCGCATCCGTTTTCCTTCTTCACCTATATATATATATGTTATGTATCATCATCAAATACAAATTACATTAAATTATTAAGAATGAGCACTAATGCGACAACTCATATTTTAGACTAAAACCGTTATGAAATTAACAAAGATGCTAAAATTCTGAAGATTTCAGTAATTGCATATATAGAATAACCATGCATTGTCTCAAAATATCAATGTTATTTGTGCAAGTTTTAGAAACAGGTAGAGAGCGAGGCACATTTGAATATACGGTCAATGCAATTAGCACAGATGCAGTATATATGACTTTATATAGGACTCTATCATGCTTGTACCCGATACATGTGTGTTTGCTTTGTCCAAAACAGACAACACTTATAAAACAAAGGTATTCTACTTTCCAATACATAGCTAAAAGTATTTTGTAAAACTGCTGTATTTTGGGGCCAAACAAGTTCGTCTTTATTGACCTTGTCCTTTACCTACGAATTAGAAAGGATTTTTGTGCAAACATGATTGAATTTTGAAAAGCAATCATTTTACTATTATCCATAATTTCTGTGTTGTTGATAAATTGCAAAGACAAAGAAAGGTATAAACTTCTGAAAAGATTTGCCGATTTAAAATTGCAAAAAATCATATCAACAACGATAATATAGTAGTACCTCCCATAGGCTCAATGTTGAAATTTTCATTCCATTGTAGGAATTACAAGTGTTTGGACGAATTTTCGGTTTGCTTCTTTTTCAAAAGGTATTCATGAAAACATTAAAAAAATAATTACTTGTGACATTTAGTGACAATTTGTATTCGTCTTTTGATTAAATCGTTTTCTTGGATTTACACAGGAAGGGAAAATAGAAGAAGAGAGACCAGTGGTAAGTCACATTTAATTATTGGAAACAAATGTGTTAACAACATTATACGTCAGTTAAAAAACAATGTCATTCTCATTTCAGTAAATTTACTAAACAATTGTAAAGCATATTAGTAAAGAATAAATTTAACCAATTATGAAGAGCAACCATTGAACTTATATTTCCCCAGTATCTGTGTTGTTGCTTATTTGCAAAGAAAAAAAGTTATATACTTCTCAAAAGATAAAGGGTCAGCCGATAGAAAAATGCAATAAATCATATCAACGACGATAATATAGTAGTACCTCCCATAGGCTCAATGCTTAAATTGTCATTCCAGTGTAGACATTCAAAGTATTTGGACGTATTTTCTGTTTACTTTTTTTTCGAAAGGTATTGGTGATCTTTATTACAACATTGACTAAAAAATTACCTTTATTCGTCTCACTTGGATTTTTACAGGAAGGAAACACAGAAGAAGAGAGTCCAGTGGTGAGTCACATTTAATTATTAGTAAAAAATATGTAAAAAACTTTATACAACAGTTAAACAAGATTTGTTCATTCTCATTTGAGTAAATTTACTAACAAAATTGTAAAGCATGTATATATCTACGTTTATTGCAAAAATGATTGTTAAAAGTGAAGAATAAAGTTAACAAATTTTAAAGACGATAATTTAACTTTTATTTCCCAGTGTTTGTGTTGTTGCTAAATTGCGAAGAAAAAGTTATATACTTCTGAAAAGACAATAGTCAAACTATCAAAAAAAATTGCAAAAAAATCATATCAACGACAATAAAAGAGTAGCATTTCCCATATGCTGAATAATATACATTTCATTCCGGTTTTAGAATTTAGAGGGTTAAGACGTATTTTCCAAATTAAGTGGTAAGTAACGTTTTTGCTATTTGAGTACAATGGTTAATAAGAACAATTCATTTTCATTTCCATAACTTTATTGAAAGATGTAAGACAGGGTTTTTTTTGTGACGTTTTCGTGCAAAAACAATTGTAAAGTAAAAAAATAAAAAGACCTATTTGACGAGCAATCATTTAGCCTATATCTCCAGTTTCTGTGTTGGTGCTCACCATTCAAGTATTTTCACGAGGAGTTTGTGGTTGTCTCTTTGGTTTTTACCCCATATCACTTTATTAATATATCAACTACTACATAGAAAACAGATTCTTATTATAATATGAATATAAAAAGAAAACAGAATATCATGTAGCATCAAATTTCGGGTCGCAGACGGGGACTGTTTGGTCGTCGGTCTGCCTTGGTTCATGTGGCAACCTCACGGTGTAACCACACTTCGATTCAAGTGTCAACGACAGCATGGAGACCTGATGTTTTATTCTATATGGATACATAAACAAATCAAAAACCTTTAAAGCGTCGTAGATCGGAACTATTTGATAGATGCCTTTGTCCACGCGGCTAAGTAACGTTGTTTACGATAGCATAGTAACATTTAGCCTAATATGGCATGCACATGTAAACTTAGAGTCTGAAATTAAAAGGTATCAAACTGATGATACTAGTTGGTAATAGGTCTGTTTACTTCTTTTTCAAAAGTAATTGATGATCTTTATTACATCATCGACAAAATAATTACTTGTGACATTTAGTGACAATTTGTATTCGTCTTTTGATTAAATCGTTTTCTTGGATTTATACAGGAAGGGAAAATAGAAGAAGAGAGACCAGTGGTAAGTCACATTTAATTATTGGAAACAAATGTGTTAACAACATTATACGTCAGTTAAAAAACAATGTCATTCTCATTTCAGTAAATTTACTAAACAATTGTAAAGCATATTAGTAAAGAATAAATTTAACCAATTATGAAGAGCAACCATTGAACTTATATTTCCCCAGTATCTGTGTTGTTGCTTATTTGCAAAGAAAAAAAGTTATATACTTCTCAAAAGATAAAGGGTCAGCCGATAGAAAAATGCAATAAATCATATCAACGACGATAATATAGTAGTACCTCCCATAGGCTCAATGCTTAAATTGTCATTCCAGTGTAGACATTCAAAGTATTTGGACGTATTTTCTGTTTACTTTTTTTTCGAAAGGTATTGGTGATCTTTATTACAACATTGACTAAAAAATTACCTTTATTCGTCTCACTTGGATTTTTACAGGCAGGAAACACAGAAGAAGAGAGTCCAGTGGTGAGTCACATTTAATTATTAGTAAAAAATATGTAAAAAACTTTATACAACAGTTAAACAAGATTTGTTCATTCTCATTTGAGTAAATTTACTAACAAAATTGTAAAGCATGTATATATCTACGTTTATTGCAAAAATGATTGTTAAAAGTGAAGAATAAAGTTAACAAATTTTAAAGACGATAATTTAACTTTTATTTCCCAGTGTTTGTGTTGTTGCTAAATTGCGAAGAAAAAGTTATATACTTCTGAAAAGACAATAGTCAAACTATCAAAAAAAATTGCAAAAAAATCATATCAACGACAATAAAAGAGTAGCATTTCCCATATGCTGAATAATATACATTTCATTCCGGTTTTAGAATTTAGAGGGTTAAGACGTATTTTCCAAATTTAGTGGTAAGTAACGTTTTTGCTATTTGAATACAATGGTTAATAAGAACAATTCATTTTCATTTCCATAACTTTATTGAAAGATGTAAGACAGGGTTTTTTTGTGACGTTTTCGTGCAAAAACAATTGTAAAGTAAAAAAAATAAAAAGACCTATTTGACGAGCAATCATTTAGCCTATATCTCCAGTTTCTGTGTTGGTGCTCACCATTCAAGTATTTTCACGAGGAGTTTGTGGTTGTCTCTTTGGTTTTTACCCCATATCACTTTATTAATATATCAACTACTACATAGAAAACAGATTCTTATTATAATATGAATATAAAAAGAAAACAGAATATCATGTAGCATCAAATTTCGGGTCGCAGACGGGGACTGTTTGGTCGTCGGTCTGCCTTGGTTCATGTGGCAACCTCACGGTGTAACCACACTTCGATTCAAGTGTCAACGACAGCATGGAGACCTGATGTTTTATTCTATATGGATACATAAACAAATCAAAAACCTTTAAAGCGTCGTAGATCGGAACTATTTGATAGATGCCTTTGTCCACGCGGCTAAGTAACGTTGTTTACGATAGCATAGTAACATTTAGCCTAATATGGCATGCACATGTAAACTTAGAGTCTGAAATTAAAAGGTATCAAACTGATGATACTAGTTGGTAATAGGTCTGTTTACTTCTTTTTCAAAAGTAATTGATGATCTTTATTACATCATCGACAAAATAATTACTTGTGATATTTAGTGACAATTTGTATTCGTCTTTTGATTAAATCGTTCTCTTGGATTTATACAGGAAGGAAACATAGAAGAAGAGAGACCAGTGGTAAGTCACATTTAATTATTGGAAACAAATGTGTTAATAACATTATACGTCAGTTAAAAAACAATGTCATTCTCATTTCAGCAAATTTACTAAAAAAGTATAAAGCATATTTTTATTTACGTTTTTTGGAAAACATGATTGTTAAAAGTGAAGAATAAATTTAACCAAATTATGAAGAGCAACCATTGAACTTATATTTCCCCAGTATCTGTGTTGTTGCTTATTTGCAAAGAAAAAAAGTTATATACTTCTCAAAAGATAAAGGGTCAGCCGATAGAAAAATGCAAAAAATCATATCAACGACGATAATATAGAAGTACCTCCCATAGGCTCAATGCTTAAATTGTCATTCCAGTGTAGACATTCAAAGTATTTGATCGTATTTTCTGTTTACTTCTTTTTCGAAAGGTATTGGTGATCTTTATTACAACATTGACTAAAAAATTACCTTTATTCGTCTCACTTGGATTTTTACAGCAGGGAAACACAGAAGAAGAGAGTCCAGTGGTAAGTCACATTCAATTATTAGTAAAAAATATGTAAAAAACTTTATACAACAGTTAAACAAGATTTGTTCATTCTCATTTGAGTAAATTTACTAACAAAATTGTAAAGCATGTATATATCTACGTTTATTGCAAAAATGATTGTTAAAAGTGAAGAATAAAATTAACAAATTTTAAAGACGATAATTTAACTTTTATTTCCCAGTGTTTGTGTTGTTGCTAAATTGCAAAGAAAAAGTTATATACTTCTGAAAAGACAATAGTCAAACTATCAAAAAAAATTGCAAAAAAATCATATCAACGACAATAAAAGAGTAGCATTTCCCATATGCTGAATAATATACATTTCATTTCGGTTTTAGAATTTAAAGGGTTAAGACGTATTTTCCAAATTTAGTGGTAAGTAACGTTTTTGCTATTTGAGTACAATGGTTAATTAGAACAATTCATTTTCATTTCCATAACTTTATTGAAAGATGTAAGACAGGGTTTTTTTTTGTGACGTTTTCGTGCAAAAACAATTGTAAAGTAAAAAAATAAAAAGACCTATTTGACGAGCAATCATTTAGCCTATATCTCCAGTTTCTGTGTTGGTGCTCACCATTCAAGTATTTTCACGAGGAGTTTGTGGTTGTCTCTTTGGTTTTTACCCCATATCACTTTATTAATATATCAACTACTACATAGAAAACAGATTCTTATTATAATATGAATATAAAAAGAAAACAGAATATCATGTAGCATCAAATTTCGGGTCGCAGACGGGGACTGTTTGGTCGTCGGTCTGCCTTGGTTCATGTGGCAACCTCACGGTGTAACCACACTTCGATTCAAGTGTCAACGACAGCATGGAGACCTGATGTTTTATTCTATATGGATACATAAACAAATCAAAAACCTTTAAAGCGTCGTAGATCGGAACTATTTGATAGATGCCTTTGTCCACGCGGCTAAGTAACGTTGTTTACGATAGCATAGTAACATTTAGCCTAATATGGCATGCACATGTAAACTTAGAGTCTGAAATTAAAAGGTATCAAACTGATGATACTAGTTGGAAATAGGTCTGTTTATTGATGATCTTTATTACATCATTAACTAAATAATTACTTGTGACATTAAGTGACAATTTTCATTCGTCTTTTGATTTACTCGTTCTCTTTGGTTTATATAGGAAGGAAATATAGAAGAAGGGAGACCAGTGGTAAGTCTACAATACAAAAATATCAAACAGATGATACTAGTTGATTATTGGTCTGCCTTTGTCTATCTTTCTTTTCACTGCGAAAACAAACTTGTATGTATGTGCCTGTCCTAAGTCAGGAGCCTGTAATTCAGTGGTTGTCGTTTATGTGTTACATATTTGTTTTTCGTTCATTTTTTTTATATAAATAAGGCCGTTAGTTTTCTCGATTGAATTGTTTTACATTGTCATTACGGGGCCTTTTATAGCTGACTATGCGGTATGGGCTTTACTCATTGTTGAAGGCCCTGTAGTTACCTATAACTGTTAATTTCGGTGGAGAGTTGTTTCATTGGTATTAATACCACATATACTTTTTTATATTGTATGTTTTATGCTTTCAATAGGCTGAACCCTATGAATTGTCTTAGAATAAAAAAAGAAATTAAGCTACTTGATACAATTCATATCTATAATTAAACAGAAGGGGAATTTTTCTGTTTGTGCTCTGTATCGACAGACCGATTGAAGAGGGCCGAACTATGCCAAAGAGAAATTCAAACTCATAGACCGAAAATAAACTGGCAACACCATGGCAAAAAACGAAAAAAAAAAAACAACAAACAGACAAATAATAATAATACACACGACACAGCATGAATAATTAAAAACTAAGAAACACGTAACCAACTAAAACTGGAGAGGGGGGGAGTGATAAGTAAGATAATTTGGAATTAAATGTTGAAAAAAATATGCAACTTTTGTTCCTTACTTTATTTATTCTAAATTTTTGCTTTATACCGCAAACAATCTAATTTGATATCTACTTTGAAAAGAACAGTAGCTTTTCGTCGATGATATGAGTTCTATCATTTTTTTTCCAGAATATGGATATCACAAATGACAGAAGCAGAGAAACTGAGGTATGTCAGTAATACTATACTGCCTTTTTAGTTTTACAAAACTGATAAGAAATATAACAAATACGGAATGCATTAATGGTACCACTTCTTCAAACACACTAAAAGTAACCAGATAGAACCGTGAGAGTATGGCTAGAACTTAACTGTATATATATAATATGTTTGCACAAGTTGTTTCTGGTTCAAACGTTCTTATAATAGAACTATTTTTATGACAGCATCAAACATTAGTTAGTAAATTCCTGTAAGACAGATGATTAAGCTGATCTGTAAAAATTACATCCTTATGCCTTATATATCGTGTACTGTGTTACGAAGCTAGATAAAAAATTACGAGGAAAGGTAACACCCGGCCACCGAAAGTTTCATTAATGTAAATTTTAGGTAGTTTGTGCTGTATTTAGACCCTCCTACAACGAAATTTGTTTTATATGCTCACGTATAAAATCGGCGGTTTTTCATAGGTTTGAACGTAGTTTTTAATTGAGACTTGTATATATATATATTACAATGCGATTGATGAGTTTGTGCTTTACAGAGATAAGTTAAGGTGTTGTTGTTATGCCCATATTCGTGTTTGTGTTTGCTCCAACTTGTTTGTGTTTGGTCATGTTTTTGATGTTTGAAATTGTCAAATATCGTCACTTGTTGTATCTGTATATTTTACAATTGCCATTCAAAGATGAAACCACTTATTAGTGTGAATCATGTCTTCACATGTCTACTATGTGTATATTGTTCAGTTTTATTGAAATTGAATTAGTTAGAATGGTTTTATTTTCAAACTATACAGTTGAAATTTATATTTTAGCACGTAGCAGAGAGTGACCCTGAAGATCTAGAGGAAGGTAAGCCTCAAACCATTTTTATCTCTTTCTCTTATTACAACTTTATGACCTTGACCTTGGTCATCAAATAATGTTCTTTGCCTTGACCTTTGAAATTATTTTATCGTGTGCAGTTGTCTTAAAAAGAAGAAGTGGATTTTTTTCTAATACAGTGTATGTCCTACAGAAAAAAAGAACACTTGCAATCTCGAAATTGTTTCAATTAACGGAAGTAATTAGTACACATTAACGTTTGTTACTAGGTGCATTACAGCTGATCATAATGTTTTGATTTGATTTGTGGTGTTTTAACGCCACTTTGAAGCATCGCATTTTGGCTGTTTCCTGGCTGCCAGTTTTTATTAGCGGAGAAAGCCGGAGTGCTCGGGGAAAAACCATCTAACTTCGTTAGGTAAACTAGCAATCCTTGTTATTTAAGATAGGAGTCGAGTGCATTTACACGAGCGGGGCAAAAACTAGAATATCATAGATATAAGCAGCTATCGTATGAGTGCCAATGAGACAAATCTCCATCCAAGTCACAATTTGTAAAAGTAAACCATTACAGTTTAACTCATGGTCTTCAACACGGAGCCTTGACTCACACCGTAGAGCAAGCTGACTCTACCAAAAAAGATGACTAGTGTAAAACCATTCAAACATTAGCATATAGAAATCTCAGTCCTGACTCCACCAAAAAAGATGACTAGTGTAAAACTATTCAAACCTTAGCATATAGAAATCCCCTCCTGACCCCACCAAAAAGATGACTAGTGTAAAACCATTCAAACATTAGCATATAGAAATCCCCTCCTGATCCCACCAAAAAAGATGACTAGTGTAAAACCATTCAAACATTAGCATATAGAAATCCCCTCCTGACCCCACCAAAAAGATGACTAGTGTAGAACCATTCAAATATTAGCATATAGTAAATCACTATATTTGAAGATATAATTGTCTTGAGCAACTTGGTATCAACCGGTTCAATCTAAACTTTGAGTGAATGGTCTACATATGTTCCCTTTCAAAAAGATGTCTTGCAAAATTCTCCTTGATCGATGGTGGGTGCTGTTACTTTAAAAAAAAACACCCAAAAACTAGCAGAACCGCTTATTTTAAATCAAAATGGTTCCGACCCGTCCACGCATAAAAAAAATATTGAGCATCATCACAATCTCCAAAAGAATAGATTATTTCAGGTAAGTCATACAGACTCACATGATCTTAGTTATTCCCACACTCAAACAAGGTTACAGGGTTGTATAGGTTTTACATTGTCTGTCCGCCTGTCTGTCACATTATCCGGACCAATTCCAATGTCTTATGTCCAGACTTCGAAAATATTTATAACTGACCATGATGTGTTGTAATCACTATAGGTAGGATGTTCCGGTATATTGAGTTCTTCTTCAGTTATGGCCCTTCGGACTAAGAAATGTGGACCCTTTTGAAGTAGACAGCTTGTCATCGCAACTCATCTGACACGGTTTGTTGGATACACATGCATGTGGGTATATTGTTAGATACATATATTCATATGTACATGTTGATGGAATGTTCCGGTTCATTGAGTTTCCATGAGTAATGGCCTTTTTAAACATTGCAATTTTGACACTATCCATGATGAAATATGCCATCGCTACTCCTCTGACTAGTCTTATTGGATACACATAAAAGTTTGTACATTGTTATATTCGCACGTTCTAATGTACATGTAGTTCTATACGTTTTACATTGTATGTCCGTCTGTCTGTCCCTTGTCCCACTAACCGTTATGTGTTAAAATCGCTATATTTAGGATGATCTGGTATATTATTACATGAGTTATAGCCCTTTGGATATCGAAATGTTGACCCTATGCTTGTCATAGCAACGTATCTGACATGGTTTGTTAAATATACATGTAAGTATGTATATTGCTAGATTCACATATTCAGGTGTGCATGAAGGTAGGACGTTCTTGTCAATTGAGTTTTCCATGGGGTATGGACCTCTGTACTTAAATTGTTTTACCCTATCGAGTATGTACTTCATTATTGTAACTCCTTAGTCTTTGTTTGTTATATACATGTGGAAGTTGATATATAATATTATATCATCAGATATAGATGTTCATGAACAATGTTACTCCAGGCCGTTGAAATTTGGCCATTTAGCATAATATAATGTCATCGTCCATTGAGAACAACTACTTGTTAAGTAGGTACTTGTAAGAACAGCGGGGTTATATCTAGTAATTTTTGCTTACAGTTCTAGTTATCATATAAGATCAAGGAAGCTCTTCTAGCCTATTGTAACACACTTTGCGTCTATTTATTTCTAGGTGTAACCCTTGAGGCTATTGATTGCCTAGTTAAGTATGAGATACAAAAATCAGAAAACAACATACACAAGGAGTTAACAGAATTCAGAAAACAGTATAGTAATAATGCAATCGGGGAACTAAGAGCCCACCTCGATGAAGTAAAGAAGGAGGTTAACAGGAATGCACAGGGTTGTGACACTGGATTTAATGATTTAACAGCAACTGTCAACTCGATGGAAACAACCATTTCACAAATCGAAACAGAAAGCAAGGGCAGCAAAAGAAAGATACAGGAATTGGAAAAAAAAGTGACAGATATAGATCGTAAATTCAACGATATAACTGCTGGGATACCAAAAATAATTGAAGACATTATCACCAGCGGTACATTAGCTTTCATGCCAACCAACTCATTCGATATTGATGAGTCAGTGGACGAACCGATGACTATCATGTCCACCCCTGTTTCGATGTCAACAAACCTGATCACTGAACATGCTGAAGATACATCACAAAAGAGAGCAGTTGATGAGGGAGTGAAAAAAACAAAAAAAAAGTTATTGTTAAGATGGTCCTGGAAAAAGAGCAATCCAGCGGGCCTAGAGTTTCTAGAAAGTAGAATCGATCTACCTGACTTTTCAAGGGCCCAAGATTTTAAACTTAAGGTTTATAAGGAAGGGATTCAGAGAGGTCTATGGATTGAGGCAACCCATACATTTGTGAGAGTTTGCACTAAAATAGACAATCTTCACAAGCAAACCCTGAAGTGAATTACAGATCGTCTACTTATAAATTCCTTTCTTTTATTATTTGGTTGATAACAATAACGTTCTATTTGAATTGTAATATTTGTATTGTTCTGCCTTGCTTACGAGTTTATTGTCAATTTTGAAAAATTGTTATTGTGCAGTTAGAGAGTGGTGACTTTTCAAATATTATGATTAAATATTAAGGAATTCTCACTGTTTCTGTGTTTTAATGTTGTTTAATCTACAATAAAACTGTTGATCAGGAGATAACAATAAAACATTATTCATTTTAAAGTGTGCGTGATTCAATTTTTTCCATATTGTTGTTTGTTTGAAAATCGTGTTGAACTTCAGCAATCTTACATTTTATTATGTCAAAAATATTGTCCGAAATGTATTTCTCCATGTACTTTATATCAAAAATAACTAAAATATTGTTTCAACTGCATACTATTTCTTGAAGTGAATTGTTATATTTGTATTGTTCTGCCTTGCTTTCGAGTTTATTTTCATTTTTGAAATATTGTTATTGTGCAGTTAAAGAGTGGTGACTTTCCAAAATTATGAGTAAATATTAAAGAATTATCACCGTGACTGTGTTTAAATGTTGTTTAATCTACAATCAAATTGATAATCAGAAATAATGCAATTTAGTTGGAAAAACAATCTATGACACAACTTAATTATAGAGATTGCTAACAATTATTTAAGTTCAAAAGACATCATCGATGAGGGAATGGTTGTTGACATGATTAATGACAGTTATTAATTAGTGCTTCCTTTGGTTGAGATAGTCGAGCTTTTCTCTTTTTGAGTATGCATCGGAGTTTGGTACTGTCAATACATGTACTAGGATGAGATTTATATTACGACTGACGTAATAAGACTCATCAGAAACTCTCAAATTAACATCATTGAAAAGTCAAATATAAAGTAGAAAGTTTAAGACACTGAGGACCTAACATTCTAAAAAATGTTTAATACGTTTAAGGTATACCGCTATTCGAAATTCATAAATCGAATGCGAAAAATTAATCAAATCCGAGTTACAAACTAAAACTAAGGGACCCACATCAAATATAAGAGGAGAACTACAACACAACAGAAACACAACACTAAAAAGTAACACACACAGATACGAACCACAATATAACAATGACCATTTTCCTGACTTGGTACAGGTTATTTAAAGAAAAAAAAGGTGGATTGAACCTGGTTTTGTGGCTAGCCGAACCTTCCGCTTTTATGGCAATGTTAAATAAAACATTAAAATGTCAACATTACATGACAGGTCAAACCAAAAAAACAAACCAAAACAAACAAACAAACAAACAGAAAAACAAAGAAACTCATAGCAATTTGTCCAAACTAATTGTAACCACATTCTTCAATATGAAATTTACTCCCCTTGAATAAGTTACAACTTAAAGAAATGTTCATTTAGGACATTATTTAGCCTATTGTTCATTATTTAAAAAAAAATGTGATGCAAGTTGATGAATTGTTGTGAGATATCGTATAATTCAGCTACTTGTGGTCTAATCCTTTCTTATTACTTTAGATTATGAATTAAGCTAAAATTGACATTAGGGTGCAAATTTCAAGATTTAGAATACAAATAGGCCTCGGAGGCATAGAGCAAATTCATCTGCTAACTAAATGTATAAATTATTCGAGAAGAACACTAGCTTGATGAAAATTTTTCAAACAGTGCTTTGCGCTTAATGTCCTGATTAAATAAAACAAACAAGTGACATGTGTTCAGTTATTTTCCTTTAAGATTGTGATGTGATTCAGACAAATAACGAACACATATTTTCAGTCCTGACATCATTTCAACTTTGATATATTGTGGTACATTATTTGTTATATTTCAAACACTAACAATTGTTTAATTTCCTTTAAAAAAAAACAAAAAAACAAATTAATGACATTTGGAAATTTTATAAAATTACCTGTCATATCGTTTTCAAATATAGTTTGACCGTCAACATGTATAAGTAACAGCTCTGTAAAACTTTTAGTCAGTTAATATTTTTATGTAGAAAATCCCCCAAAAAACTTTAATCAGTTAAAATAAAAATGTCACAAGAAAATATGTGTTTGCCATTTGCAGTAATCAATGTCAGTCTTTAACAGTTAGTACCAGTTGTAGAAATAGAAGCAAACGTTGAACACCAAATGTATGTCTAGATGATGTGTTATCATTAAAAAGCCAAACTAGGCACATTAAATGCATTAAGTAATGCTACTGACTGTTGCTAACTACTTTGTGTGTACCTTTCATCTAACAATAATGTTATATGTCATGTTCTTTTCTTTAGTGAATGGAAGATGGAATCTAATTTGAATGGACTTTTAATTCAAACTGGACTTGAAAACGCCGATTCTGTATATGAACTGTGTTTAGGATCAAACTTTTCCCCTAGCGAAATATTAAAACGAGACTCAAATCTTACTCTACGTGATTGTCAAATTACAGCGTGTGCGCAACGACTTTGGTTGAATCAAAAATATGATTTAGATGGTATTGTCGCAACTTTTTCCTCTTTGAAAGACATCCTTGTTCCGTTTTCTTATTTGAATATACTACCGCGTGGAAGAAACAGTATGATGCCAGTATTCAATATATTACGAAAACACTTAAAACTGGAAGTATACAATAAAAAAGCTTTACAATACTTAAGATGGAGCCAAGGAATACAAATTGTAGGCGACCACGGTTTTCAGTTTTTGATTACTTTGTTACCAAAACCCGGACCAATGAGATTATTTAAGAATTACAGCCGCCAACAAATCGAAAACTTGCAATTTGAATTTTACGAATCTTTTAGGACATCATTAGCAAATAAATGCAAAGCTTTGCCAGAACAAGATATTACAAGAAATACATTCAAGAAAAACAAGATAATTGATATAAGAACCTGGCATGTCCTACCAGATGACAGGGAATTTGTCTTAAATCTCTTATGCCAAACGGAAAACTCTCTACCTCGTGACGAAAATTTTGAATTCATCATCATAGCCCACCGTTTTGGGGACAGAAATAGCAATGCTATGAAAATTACGGAATATGATACTGCAAACGCATCAACAACGATACATGCGGCCGTAACATTGTCATCCCCAATTTTGAACCAAAACCTGTTTTGGTCACGAAGCGGTATACAGGACATAATTGGTGATCGTGGATCTTTATATTCGTCACTAAGTTTCCGCTCCTGTTGTAATTTCCAGACAAATTTAGACGGCAGAAGTATTGACATTTCTAGAGATTTAAGACAGTTGTGCACATGCCCTGAGACATTGCGGTTTTTGCAAATGTATGCCGATTTGCCACATATGAGTTCATCTTCTATCCATCCCGTCTTCGGATGTATCGCTTCGTGTGGTGTATTACATGGTAATATTCAAAAAGCTCTTGAAAACAGAGCATCTGATTATTTAACGTCAATACAGGAAAATATACTAAAATTAGGAATATCAAACGCAAGGCTTGAAATAGTGTGTGAAACCAAAAAAGAGAATGTGCTATGTGCTGAAAGCTATATATCAAAAAGTGCACTATCAGTCCTGTTAACAAAGTATCCAATCATTGTTCCAATTATTAATGACTTATACAAGGAAGACTTTAGCTTCACAAAATCTATTCGCATGGTAGGAACATATTTATTAGAATCTCTAAGGGATCTTTATGCCAAAAATTGTAAAATGGGTGGATTTTTAAACGTTTGGAAATGTTACCAGTACGAGCTTGCATGTGAAATATTATTCAAAGGTCGACCTAACAGTGCAGCAGATAATAATTTTGGAATAAACTTAGGACCAGGAGGTTGTTTTCCAAGTCGTTGTTCGACTTGGGAACAAGGCTTTTTATGCCTTGATGATGCTACAGCCTGCGCATTTGATGAATGTTCCTTGCCACCTCTCACATTTTGGGCTTTAAATGAATGCCAAAAGCAAAGCATTAAAAAAATTGTAAATTTTTCCGGTGTGATGGATGGCGGTATAATAGCTGTTGGTATTCGGTCAGTGATTCTTTTGATACACGATTTACAGACAGATCCTAGCCGTATAGCCAAATGTGATCGCTCACTTTTATCGGATCTAAGAACACAGGACCTTCCATGTTGGGCTGTTCTAGCCGGACAAATAACTGTACGTAATTTGTGTGGAAGACTTTGTAGAAAGAAAATCTATAAACCACCATTTGTTTTTTGGCGAGCTATTGAATTCATCGAAATGCTGCAAATGAAACCTGTAGATGTTTTAGAGATTGGATTTAATCATTTTAAACTCAATTACTTTCCGGATGTTCGGTTTACTGATAGAGCAAACAATAGCAAAATGCACTGGCCTAACAACGGAGTTGTACGAATAACAGGGTATAGCAATGAAAACTCTGTGTTAGCTAAAGCAAGTCAGTTCTCAACAGATGTTATTTGGTTTCTTGAAAACGAAGGTTTAGTGCATATGTCAAAGTTTAGAGAATATTTGTCAGTACAGGAAAATTTTACGTTTCCATGGATGTGCAGCATACTTGAAAAACTCTCCGATTATTCTGCAACAAACGATGTGTTATTACAGGTAATATCATATCTTTCGTGTATAGGACTTTTACAAAATCGTTGGTATGTTCATTATTGTAAGTTCTCAAAGCTTCACAATAGAATATTAACTACCATTCCAAAAATCGAGTCGGTCCTTCAAAGTCGTGAAATTCTTTCCAGATTTAGGCTTAATTCAATTCATAGATTGCATATTTTTAGATTGCATTCATCTTTAGAATTATCTATACCAGAACCAGTAACTAAGATTAGCACAGTTTCATCAGAAGACGATTTAACAGACGATGATAATAGAATATCCACAGAAAACAAGGATGACTCAGATGACTCTAGTACAGAAGAACCTCCCAAAATCGAACATGAGAACATAACGAAAGACGGAAGACGACATTTACCAGCCGGACTAACTATGAAATGGAGTAGTAACGAAATTGAGATCCTAGACTTTATTATATCTTTGAAAATACAATCTGAGAAAGATGCATATATGCGTTATAAGGCCGCATGTACATCCAGACGTATTGCAGACCGTTCTTTTTCCGCATTTAAATCAAAATACCATCGTTTGATGAAATCATAAGAACCATTTATTGTTCGATTTGCTGACTTAAATGAATGCTACATTGATGAGAATCAGTGTTATGATGCTCAATGAAGTCAAACAAAAGAGACACGTGACACATTTGGTAGTAAATAAAAGATCTGGCATATAAAGTTTAACATATATTTGTGATATTTCAAGAAGCATAAAGCAATAGTTTATAGTAAAATATTTGGTTGTCTTTTATTACAGATCGGTTTGATTTGACATAACATTAATAACTCATGTCTTCATAAAATTAATTTTCTTATTAAGATATTATGACAATATGGATTCATCGATAGGGCGAAGGTAAACGTCACAGTCAAAGAATGTCATTGTTGGGGATAGGCTAATATACTTTTGGATATCAGCATGTGCAGGTGTTGAGGT